AAACTCTTGGGAGTGATGGATGTGTTTATTATTTGATTTTGGTTATGGTTCTATGGGTGTATACTTATTCAACTCAACAAAGCGTACATTTAAAATATGTGCAGTTTGTTGTACGTCAATCATATCTTAATAAAACTGTTAAAAATTTTCACCATGTGCTTAAGGACTCAGATTCTGCAGGTTGCTAAGCCTGTATGGATATCTCTATTCTATGGCCCACATGCTTTTCATTAAGTTATTAAATCTCTTTCATCTCTAGTTCCTTCATGTGCAATATAACCTCAAAGTGTTGATGTAAGAAAAAAGTGATATGATTAAAACAACAAAAAACAACCAAGCAAATACACCAAAAATTACCATGTCTAAACAAATAATACTATTATTGGTATCATATGAGTTCTTACTACTGACAGTTTGCTATTAATATAGAGGGAATGAAAGGGACAGAAACAGTTGTGTGGGTTATTTAGAAGCCCATCATAAATTTGTAATGATGGCAATAAACCTGCCTTAAAATCTTTGGACTTGGTTCAAGTATACAAAAATTCCTGTGTGTTTTTTATGAGATGACCCACATCTAATACCAATAGTCAAAGTTTCTATAACCTCTTATATGTGATGTAATATAATGACATGCTGTCTTATTTCCATTTCAGTCCATTCTATACATTGCAGTTGAAATTCTCAAAAAAAAAAAAAAATCTTCTTCTCCCTTGCTTAGTTACCATTGGTTTGCCATTTCTTAAAGAATTAAATTCAATCTCCTCAGACTGGCATTGAAAGTTCTCCAAAACTTGACTACTTTTTGCTTTCCTTAGAAAGTTTAGTGTAGAGGTTAAGAGTATGAAGCTCTTGGGATAGGACCACCTGGTTCTATTCTCTGTATGCATCAGTTTCATTCTTTGAAAATAGGAATGATAATAATATCTACTCTCCAGAGCTATGGTGAGGGTTAAATAAACTTGCACAAGTCAAGTTCTTAGAATAGTGACTGGTTTATAGTAAGAGTTCAAGAAGTTTCGGGTATTTTTTGCCCTTATTCTATCTACCTCTTCCTCTATGCCTCCCCAAGTATTATTTTCTCCCATCACATTATTTGTTATTCCTTATAAGTTGAATTATGTCTCCCTTCCTGAAATTCTTATGTCGAATATCTATCCCACAGTAGCTAAGAATGTGACTGTATTTTGGAGATACTGCCTTTAAAGACATGATTAAGTTAAAATGAAGTCTTAATCCAATCTGACTGGTGTATTATTTAAAACATTTTATTTTATACCAGCTATAGCTGATTAACAGTGTTGTGATAGCTTCAGGTTGGTGGACAGAATAGTTTCAGGTAGACAAAGAGAGGCAGCCATACATATATGTGTATCCACTCTCCCACAAACTCCCCTCCCATTTGAAAGTGAAAAGTGAAAGTCCCTCAGTCATGTCCAACTCTTTGTGACCTCATGGACTTTATAGTCCATGGAATTCTCCAGGCCAGAATACTGGTGTGGGTAGCCTTTCCCTTCTCCAAGGGATCTTCCCAACCTAGGGATCGAACCCACGTCTCCCGCATTGCAGGCGGGTTCTTTACCAGCTGAGCCACAGGGGAAGCCCCAGAATACTGCAGTGGGTAGCCTATCCCTTCTCCAGCGGATCTTCATATTCAGGCTGCCACATAACATTGAGCAGAGTTCCTTGCACTATAATACAGTAGGACCTTGTTGGTTATCCATTTTAAATAAATCAGTGTGTGTATGTTGATCCCAAAGTCTCTTACTATCCTTTTCCCCTTATCCTTGCCCCTGGGCAACCATAAATTTATTCTCTATTGACTGGTATCAAGAGGAAGAGGAAATTTGAATCCATGAAGGGACACCAGGGATGCACACGCAAAGCAGAAAGGATACAGGAGAAAGTGGCCATCAGCAAGCCAAGGAGAGAGGCCTTAGAGGAAATTAACCTGCCAACATTTGACTGCTTCCAGAACTGTGAGAAATCAATTTCTGTTTCTTAAGTCACCCAATTTGTGGTATTTTACTATGATATCCCTTTGTAAACAAATGCATTCTTCCCAAACATACTCTGTTTTTCTGTTTCCACATCTTTTACTTTCTCTTTCCACATGAAGCTATCTTCCTCAAATACTCTTCTCCTAAAAGCTGCCTTTTTGTCAAGCTTCATCTAAATACTGTAATGCGTCCTTTAAAATGTTTTTTGGGCTGTCAGTTAGAATTCATTTCCCTCATCTATACTTTCATAAGCATGCTGTTTTAGTCCTCTATTAAAGAATATTCACTTTTGATTGTCTTTACCGTAAATTCAGCCAATGCTTTGGCCACTGACGTGAAGTGGTATTGGTATTGGCCAAAATACCAACACTTTGGCCACCTGATGTGAAGAACTGACTCATTGGAAAAGACCCTGATGCTGGGAAAGATTGAAGGCAGGAGGAGAAGGGGATGACAGAAGATGAGATGTTGGATGGCATCACTGACTTGATGGACATGAATTTGAGCAAGCTCCGGGAGTTGGTGATGGACAGGGAAGCCTAGTGTGCTGCAGTCCATTGGGTCTCAAAGAGTTGGACATGACTGAGTGACTAAACTGAACTAAATGGCTATTTAGCTAATAGAATCCCAGCATCCTCTGTAGCTAGTTGTAGCCACATGACTAAGTTCTGACTAATGGAAAACGAGTAGAAGTGATGGGTACGATTTTCACATTATGCCCTAAAAGGAAAGAAGGAAAACCTGCCCAAAGAAGTGTTTCTACTCCTGCTGGCTGGACTGTGAACTCAATGTCATCTGGAGCAATCATCTTGGACTAGGAGATGTTGATGACGGTAGCATGGAAGATAAAAGAAGCTGGGTCCCTGATGACTGTGGAATTGTATCAGGCCTGGATCTTTTCAATCCTTTTAATAGGAGTACATACATAGACAGCACAAGTAAACAAATACATACACACACATCTATGAACACTCACACACACAATCATAGCTAATACACTATCCAAACCATAACAACCAACTTTTTTATGCGGGGATGTCTTAGATTAGACGTATGTCAACATATTTCAACTTGTATTTTTTCCTGTTTTTATAATCAACATTGTCTTTTGGCAACCTCAATAAAATGTCTCATTAGTTAAATGTGGAATGATGAATAGGGACAGTTAACAAGGCATAAATCAATCAGATTTTCTGATGAGGTCATAAGCTACAGTAACAGTCTTTTGTAGCAGTAAATTCTCAAGTGCTTGATGTAACTTGAAATTTGTAAATGTTTCCAAGCTAAGTATAATTTTTAGGTTGGATGTAAAGAGAGTAATTGGAATCAGAGGCTAAGTGGAAATAATACAATAAAAGCAACAACTCTACATTTATTCCTCTCTGAGAACATGTTCCCAATATCTGTCATCATAAATTTACCCTAAATTGTACATTATATAATTTTTTTCATAAAATATATCCAACCAATCATTTGTTGCCAACTCCTGAAAAAAGTCTTAAAAATGAGAGGATTGATTGTTTACAGATTAATCTTTTATTCTCAGGGAGACAGGAGAAGGGATGGATGGGGAGAGGTGAACTGTTGGAGATGGGATGAGACTAATGAACTCTGCAGAAGAGGAAAAGCAAATGGTCTCGAATATTCAGCAGTTTCCAAATATTTATTTAATGCCTATTATATTTCATGTATTATTCCAGGTGCTGAGGGTTCAAAGCCGAATAATATTTGTATCCCAAAGATGCTTATAATACATTTGGAGAAGCAAACAAGTAAACTGACTATAAAACAAAAGAAAGTCATTGGTTTTCATTTAGTTAATTTTCATTAATTTCTAGAGGCAATTCTTTCAGAATACTACATATTCCTAGACACAGGATTTGGTTCAGACATATATAATTAAGTACAACCATTCAGAGACTTTCTTGAGATTTAATATACAGAAGCTGGGAAGAAGGATCTCTTTTCATTTGGATTATTATTATTTGGAAACACAAGATTCTAATACAGCCTTTGTATGAATTTCCTGGAAGTCTTTAGATATTTGGCAATTGTTAAAAATGAATGATAAATGGATGATTTATTTTTTGGGCCAATAATAACCTTTATGATGTCTGCTATCACATTCGCCTTTGTTTTCACCCTTTCACACTCCCTACCTTCTTCCACACATACCCACTGTGCTCTAAGCAAGATTCAGTATTTCTTTTCATTCCTCAAGATGGAAATGGACTCTATAGGCATGGGTGAGCAAATAAGCAAGAGAGGAGAAAGTACATTATGTAACATGTAGCTTCGACCTGCAGAACCCCTTTAGTCATCTCCTTCTAAGACTCTGCTTGGCCCTCGGATGCTGGCCTTCCTTTGATCACTTTACCTTTCCCCAATTCTCTACCTCTCCCAATTCTGGTTCCTGAGTCCTGGATCTTTTTCACTCAGAATAACTGAGCTCTGCCCCAGCTCATCCAAACCCACATTTCTTCACTTATTACTCCATTCAACAGACAAAAGACACCTCAGATACTAAAATTTACCTTCCTTAGAATATAGCAGAGGGAATGTAAATCACAAAAATTTTGAGTCACTTATAAAAACTCACCCAAAATTATAGCTGAATATAGAGATGATTTAAATTGGGGCTGTAAATCTTTTGGATCAGTGTGGGCTAGAGCAGAGTGTTTAGGAATAGAAAGATAAAATCTAATTTGGGAATTTATCTTTCCTGGATATAATCAGGTTGATATTTTTACAAAAACTTAGTGTGAATATGTATGTTTACCAGAAGATTTGACCTGACGGATGCTTGACTGATAAACATTTGTTTCAGAGGTGGGTGGGTAGGCGGCAGGCAAAGAAGTCGCAATATCATGTATTCAGCCTCCTGGATAGAGTTCCAAGAGAGAAAATGTGCTTGGAACTATCTATTTCACTGTCTTCATGCTTCTCCCTTTTCTTCTGTCCCCCCCCACCTTTTTTTTATTTTCCCAATTTTAACTTTTTTTTCAGGATCTACAGTTCAGAACGGAGTTCTTTACGGAAAGCTGGAAAAGGTGAGATGCACTGGGTCTTTGCCCGGGTACACTGATCATTTCTTTTTAAAGTCAGAATTTCCTGTTCACCTGAAATGATGGCTTGGCATGTTCATGGGTATATTTCAAATCCTGAAACAAAGGGAGGATGTAAATGTTTATAAATTTAGAATTGTTCAGCAAGAGTTCACAGGTCAGTTTTCCTGGAACTGGACAACACATCATTCTGATTCTTTCTCATAACCAAAGGCAGTTATCCCCATTTTTATTTTGTATTGCTAGTGGTTTAAGTGTATCTTTGTAAGGCCTTTAAAGCTATCTGGCAGTTAGGCAGAGTATAAATAACCTTTATTGTTATTATCATTGTATGTAGCATTCACTCTGTTTTGCTGCCATTAATAAACCATTCAAGCAATGTTGTTGCAATGTATAATATTAGCAGAAGGCTCCCTGGGGAGACATATAAGAGGGTGTTTAATATTCTGCTTGTTCCTCAGTCCAACTTCCCACAGGCAGAGATGTTAGAGCATGTTCAAAGTTCAACTGAAAAAAAAATCTATGAGATTAAAAAACAGCACTAAACATGCTACTGTAATTCAGAGAATTGCTTTAGCTGTAGCATTTTTGCTAAATTAGAATATCATAAATTAACCAAGTTAATATGCTGTTAGAATTCTTATTTGTAATTAAAAAACATACAAGAAAATTCCCACAGACCTATGTAAAAGCAGTGATTTTTCAGCAGCTTGGTCAAACTAGTACAGATAAACTTAGAAGCAGAGTGAGTTTTCCACTCAAATACTCAATTATGAACTATTTTTGAGCAGAGATAGCCTGTACTTTGTTTCCTGTCTCATAATACCTCATCGATGTCTTCATAGAGCTCAGATTCAGTGTTGAAATTTAAATTCAGAAAGAGAATATGGTAAAGTCCAGAACCATTGACATGTTAAGAAGATGTAAGGTAGTACATACAAATGAATTTTATGCACCATGGGCTGTTGTGAAACGTGACCCTGAAGATTTTCAGAAAAATATTGGATTCTCAAGGATCTGCTTAGATCTGATAACTAACTACAACAGCATGTTGCTGCTGACTGTTAGGTCCACAGAGCTTCAAAACAATTTTATCTTCACTGCATTGTCTCCTTGCAGCTCTCAGCTCCACGTTGAAATCCCTTTGAGAGTTTGCTTAGGGATTTAGATGTTGTTTTGCTGTGTAATAAATGATCCCAAAATCTAGTGGCTTAAAACAGCAACAATTTATTTAACTCAGGATTCTGTTGTACCGTAATTTGAGTTGGGCTCAGGTTAAATGTAATTCTGCTGATTTTAACTGCGCTCACTCACATTTACGTGATCAGCTGCCGTCAGGTATGCTCTTTTGTTTCTGGGGTTGGCTGGCTGTTGGAGGGTGGGCAGCAGCGATGTTGGAGCCACAGGTCCTTCATCATCTAGCCAGGCTAGGCCAGGCTCATCTGCATGGCAAGTCAGAGTTCTAAGGACAGACAGAAAGAGGACAAGCCCCACTGCCCAAATGCTCGTCAAGTATTTGCTTGAGTCATGCCTGCTAATGTACCTCTGGTCATTGCATGTCACCTTGTTGAGCACAGAGTCCAAATGGGAGACACTCAAGGTGCCATGCCAGGGGAAGCATGAATACAGAACAAGAATCTGGGTTTTACAATCTGTCACAGTACTAGACAGTCTTGGATAGCCAGAAACAGCTGTAGATGTTTGTCACTGGCTATCATAATCTTTGAGATATCATATTATCTTGTCTAGAAAAGGAGCATAATGCTTTGAAAAATCCTTGGCCTTGGATTCTAAAGAACTGGTTTCTTGTTTCTGGCCCTGCTGCTAATTCACTGAATGATATGGAACAACTCACGGACCTCTGGGTCATTAATCCTACAAATCTTAAGTTGAGGTCGTTTTTTGGACTAAAGTTTTCCCCCCAGGTCACATATTTGGCTTTTACTGGCCCTTAATTCTTTATCCGACTTTAGATGAACCCAGTGTTTCACAAACTACATTCCCTGGAGCCTTCCTTATCTCTGAGATGCTAACATGGCAACAGCACAATGATGAAATCTTTTAGAAATTTACCGGCATTCTCACCTCTCAGAGAGCTGAGGTATTTCAGACGAATGCCTTTTCTTATAGGATACTGAAGGACGTAGAAAAAAATTAAAAAAATCAGAACCACAGAGCTGAGTCCAAAACCTTATTCTTTCCCCCTCCTCCCGAGACTTCACTTAAAAAAAAAAAATCATTCATTACATCATGAAATGTGCTCGTGAGCATGTGACTACAAAGTAATTCATGTGTGTGTGTTTGTGCGTGCTCAGTCATGTCGGAAACTACAACACCATGGACTAGAGGCCAGGCTCCTCTTTTCATGGAATTTTCCAAGCAAGAATAATGGAGCTGATTGGCATTTCCTTCTCCAGGGGATCTTCTCAGGGATCGATGAACCCGCGTTTCTTTCATCTTCTGTACTGGCAGGAAGGTTCTTTACCAGCTGAGCCACAAAGGAAGTCCTGCACTGTATTCTGTAAAGCCTTGGTGGCTCAGTGGTAAAGAATCTGCCTGCAGCACAAGAGACACAAGTTTGATCCCTCAGTGAGGAAGAGCCCTTGGAGAAGGAAATGGCAAGCCACTCCAATATTGTTGCCTGGAAAACCTCAAGGACAGAGGAGCCTGGTGGGCTACAGTCTATGGAGTTGCAGAGTCAGACACGACTGAGCACGCACAGCACACTGAATTTTATTTAACCACTTCCTTGTTGATGCTCCTTTGAGCTACTGTCACTCTTTCTTTGCGATAAACATTTTTATACGTAGATTATATGCATTATGACAAACTTTGGTAAACATTTTTATAAAATAAATTCCTAGAATGTTTGTTCAGCTCTCCACATTTATCCAGATTTTAAAGTCCCACAGGGGGCTTAATTCTAGGAATTTATTTTATAAAAATGTTTACCAAAGTTTGTCATATATGGTACTGCAGTATCAGATTATACAACCACAGTGGTCAGACAGGAAGTCTGTAAATTTTGCTATCTGAATTTTGTTTGCTTTAATATTAATAATATCCAGCCCCTGATCCTTATAGAATCAGACATAGAGAATCAAGGGACTTCCCTGTTGGTCCAGGGGTTAAGACTTTGCCTTCCAATGCAGGGGATACAGTTTCCATCCCTGCTCAGGGAGCTAAGATCTCCTATGCCTTGAGCCCCCCAAAACAGAATATAAACAGCAGAAGCAATATTGTAACAAATCCAATAAAGACTTTAAAAATGATCCACATCAGAAAAATTAAAAAAAAAAACCAAATTGATGGCACCTACGTTTGTCAGACACATGATTAAAGCCGTCTGTTCGGAGGTCCTGGAGGAGCGGGGTTGTTCAGCATCAGCAGTCAGGTGAGTTGGTGGGTGGTAGAAACACGCAGCAGGTCACAGGGGCCGGCGCATTCGGGTTCATGGATGACGTCACCCCGCCCCGCCTAGTTCCGCAGAGCTCTCGCGTGGCTGGATCCCTAGCACGCGCTGTAGCCTCATGAGGCGAGGGATGGGGTGCTGCGTTCAGGTCTCGCGAGATGAAACAGGGGCCTAGAGAAAGGTAAGCTCTGTTCTCAGCGTCTGTTTATTAATGGGAAAAGTGAGACCCAGAGAGAATTGGTCAAGACCCTGGAGCAAGCAAGACTAGAGACTAGATCAGTCTGACCGCCAGTCAACCAACTTTTTTTCTATTCCGGAGTGTTTTATCCACAAAAAACTTGTGTATTTTCGAGTGTGATTAGCAACCTCAAAACGTAAGATTCGGTTGTTTAGTGGCCAACTTGTGTCCGACTCTTCGTGACCCCGTGGACTGCAGCACGGCTGCTTCCCTGAAAAAAATTCAGTTAATTTTGAGTTAATTAACTCAAAAGTTTTACTTTACACTCAAGGTTTTTGATATTCTATATAGCTATACTATCTTGAGAGACGTTTACAAGCGCTTCTCAGGGAGTTAGCCTTGAGCGTGCTGGAAGCTAATCTTGACGGGATTCACCCAAGAATCTGAGGTAACCTGGCTAGAGGCCACTCTAAAAACAAACTATTTTGTCATGGTAAGTAGAAAAAAACTGCTCGCTGGGCTTTCTGACACTCACGCCTCGCTCGTTCTGCCAGTTGCTGGTTCTGACGTCTGCTGCGTGGGTCTCAGGATTGGGAAGGTGTGAGAGGAATGAGACAAAGATGAGGAGCATCATACACAGCAGACGCACAATCACTGGCTCTTGTTCTCATTGGAGGCTTTTGGTGTGTTCATCAAGGTCCTGCACAGGGGACCTCTGAGTACAGTTTCCTGCCCCCTTTTCAAGGTCACATTGCTGGTGGGGGTGGTTCTTTTTGGTGAGAAGTTCAGCCTTCTCCTTGCAAGGTCATTTTTCTTTCCCCTTAGCCGCAGTCTAATCTAGCCACAGCCTTTCAACTTCAGATTTATTCTCAAGAGTCAAGCAGCAGTCTTTGTGTCCACTAAATTCCTGGGGTCATCTGTAAGTTTTGGTTACATCTCACTGGGGAGAAAGTGCCCCCACTGTTTTCCCTCCTCAGGTGGGGAGGAGACACACTGCAGCTCAGGAACAGTGTTCTCTAGCACTGACATCCTCTCTCCACAACATCCTTCACACACGTGTGAATTCTTTGTTTTCTCTCACAGTAGCTTGAAAGTGGGAACCATGAGCTGCACTAAGTTTTCATGGTTTCCCAGTTTCTCAGCATAGCTAGCATACATAGTTTAGCCCCTCGGTTTAGGATGTGAGGCACCTAGAGCACTATTATTTTCAGCCCTTGGTTCTTGCTGAAAAAAGTACGTAAGAAGCATTGCTTCAGTTTCTTCATCTGAAAGATGATGAAGTTGGCTTTCTTGATCTTTGGACATTGCTATGTACTGAATTGTGTTTCTTCTCTGCCCTGTGCCCTGCCTCCAAATTCACCTGTTGAATCCCTAACCCTTGATGTGACTGTATTTGGAGATATGGATTTTATAAAGTCAGTTTAGTTCAGTCGCTCAGTCATGTCCGACTCTTTGTGACCCCATGAATTGCAGCACGCCAGGCCTCCCTGTCCATCACCAACTCCCGAAGTTTACTCAGACTCATGTCCGTTGAGTCGGTGATGCCATCCAGCCATCTCATCCTCTGTCGTCCCCTTCTCCTCCTGCCCCTGATCCCTCCCAGCATCAGGATCTTTTCCAATGAATCAACTCTTCGCATGAGGTGGCCAAAGTGTTGGAGTTTCAGCTTCAGCATCAGTCCTTCCAATGAACACCCAGGACTGATCTCCTTTAGGATGAACTGGTTGGATCTCCTTGCAGTCCAAGGGACTCTCACGAATCTTCTCCAACACCACAGTTCAAAAGCATCAACTCTTCGGTGCTCAGCTTTCTTCACAGTCCAACTCTCATATCCATACATGACTACTGGAAAAAACAATAGCCTTGACTAGACGGACCTTTGTTGGCAAAGTAATGTCTCTGCTTTTTAATATGCTATCAAGGTTGTTTATAACTTTCTTTCCAAGGAGTAAGTGTCTTTTAATTTCATGGCTGCAATCATGAAGATTAAATGAGGTGGTAAGGATGGGACCCTAAACCTATGGGATTGGAGGCCTTAAAGGGAGGGGGAGGGAGAGAGAGAGAGACATTTGTCTCTCTTTCTCTTTCCATGTATAATCACTGAAAGATGACCATATGAGAACACAGCAAGAAGGTGGCTGTTTATGAGTCAGAAAAAGAGCTCTCATCAGAAAACCATGCTGAACCATGATCTTGGGCTTTCTAGCCTCTAAAACTGTGAGAAAATAAATTTCTGTTGTTTAAGCCATATAGTCTGTGACATTTTGTTATGGTAGCCCAAGCAGACTAATGAAGATGTCTTTATCTCTGAAACTCTGGAAAAAAAAGAACCTCTCAGACTTCTCACGGGCAATGAAAATTCACTTATCTCTAGGAAAGAGTTCACCTCACTCCTCCAATGGCATTTTGACTCAGGGAAACCTCTCCTTAACCGTTGGGGCTGTTGGTCTGCTTTTAACCCATCATCTCCAAGCAAATCTAGCCATGGCACCCACACTGTTAATGTTATCTTAACAACAAACAAGCTTCATTCCCGTCCCCTCACCATGACATCAATAGTATAGCAATTTCCTGTAAACTATGGTTTGATCATACTGAAATATATTAACTGCGGTGAGCGATGAAATTGCCAACACTGTTATTGTGTGAGCCGCACTTTGGGAACAGTGACAACAGTGAGAGATTGCATTCATGGCTTGAAATTTGTGATCTCCTCTGAACCCAGAAAAATGGCATTTATTTGGAAGGAGGAAGTGGAGGACCAAGAACAGTTATTTTAAATCCTTGTAGCTGCACATTGAGGCTGTCTTTCTCTTAGAATCAATGTTTGCATCCACAGCAACAATTTGGGAATGAGGAAGACAGAAAGCTAAATTTTGGGGGCCCAAAGAATATCTTTCTATTCTCTCAACTCCTGGAGCATCTTTTGTTGATACCAACCTTTGGCTCTTAGATTTTAAATTCTTTGGGTATAAGGAATGTGCTTTATCATCTGTGAATCTCTGCAAGCTCCTAACTGAATCCTTAGCAGGAAACAATCCAGATAAAATTCTGAACACAGTGCCTGTCTCATAATAAGCACTCAATAAGTGTTAGCTGACATTATTATGAATCCAAAGAAGGTACTCATTAGTTGCTGATGGATTGACTTCTCTTTTGCATCTATTCTCTGCTTCAACCATTCTGTGAAAAGTTATGTGAACCTGTAAAACCTTATTTTATTTTATATTATGGTTAGGGATTGAATAGCTGTGGGTTAAGTATAATTGTTCTTTGACCTATATCTTCAATTAATATTCAGTGATTTTGAGTGTTTTTTGTATGTATGTTTATGTACACCAAAATTTAATCACACAGAAGGACAAGTAGAGGTTGCTTTGTTTGAAATTACTCTCTTAAATGATTCCAAGTAATGCTTGAGTCCTGTTTAAAAAAACTGCCAAGTCTTCTTGCATCAAAGTCCCAATTTGCATATCACTTTACATATTGAGTCCCAAAGGCTTCCATTCAAAGGATGGAAAATAAAATTAAACGAATCAATTAGTGTATCTTTCTGCAATTGTATTCAAACCCAATATTAAGGGCATTACATACAAATTACATAACAGATTTAGAAAGCAATTCAATTTAATCACATCTTAGATTAGGAGGAACAGGAACTCAGTCAAGAGCTTGAGAGAAATGCCAGTCAGCTCTTGTGCTCAGGAAATTGGGAGGGGAGTTCTTGTCTGTCCTTGTTGGAGTAGCCCTGGGTTTTGCCAGAACCAGCTCATTACTGCAACTTCGACTCTAAACTGGGGTTTCCAGGAGGGGCCTTTATCTTTCTGAAGAGGTGATTCTAATTAGTCTCTTGCTTTTTTGACCATTCGATTTCTGATAATGTTAGAATTTTAAACATGGTGCTGAGTAGCCACTAATTTTGTACAATATTCTTGTGCTGGGGAAATATATGGAATGTTTAACTGCTCTGTGCATATCCCCCTGCCCATCCAGCTGTTAAAAGGGTTCCTTCCACCTTATTCTCTGAGGCTTTTTCACTCAGCACAGCGTGGGCATCTCGACCTACACTGTCCAATAGAGGACCCCCTATTCACATGACTAGTGTAGCTAAAGAATTGAATGCAAAATTTTATTTCATTTAAATTGATTTAAATAAAAAAAAACATATCCACATGATTAGTGTAGTTAAATAATTGAATGCAAAATTTTATTTCATTTAAATTGATTTAAATTAAAAAACCTGATGCCCGATTCTGTTATAGCAAGACTTTTGATTATGTTTGGGCCAACTTAGATATGTGAATCTACTTTTCAGCTGTACATTTTATGAAATTTAAAAACCAGTCAAGTGTTTAACCTATGTTTTGTGAAGTGCTGTAGGTGTAAAACACATCAAATTTCTTAGTATAAAAAAAGGATTAAAAATATCTCATTGATAATTTTCATGTTGATTACATGTTGAAATGATAAAACTTCAGATACATTTCATTAAACAAATTATATTATTAAAATCAACTTGAACTATTTTTTTGTACTTCTTAAATATGGCCATTAGAAAATTTAAAATTACATGAGTGCCTTGTTTTGTGTTTCTGTTGATCAATGCTCAGCTGGACAGAATGAAGCCAGAGAATAAAGGTGCTAAATATTTGCTATCTGTTTTTTTAGTTATTAAACTTTTTGTTTTATACTGGATTACAGTGGTTAACAATGTTGTGTTAGTTGTAAGTGTATAAAAAAAGTAATTCCATTATACAAATACATGTATATATATATTTTCGAATTCTTTTCCCAATTAGGTTGGTATAGAATATTGAGCAGAGTTTCCAGTGCTAT